AATGCTTGTTAACTTCGACTATATCGAGAAGGGTGTCCTGAGTATGACGATAAACTACATCCAGCAGCAAGGCCTCTAATTAGAAGGTATTGAGGAGAATGAAACGATCTCTTAATTGGTGTTGTTCCTATGTCCATCCTTACCCGATATGATAGTACCAGATTAGGGTTCTGGCTATGGGCAAATAGTAAAACGCTATGAAGTTATAAAATACATTCTTATACTAAAAATTTCCAGAAATAGATTTTAATAGTAAAAGCAAAAAATTGCCAAAGGTCTCAAGGAAAACAAATGTCGACAGTAAATGATCCATAAGGAGTTAATATGCCGTCAACCAGACCAAAAAAAAAAAAAACTATCGAGAACCGGTTGTGTATTCTTCGTGTTACTTAAAAACTAATCAGTGTACTTTAGAGTGTATGCGTAAACGAACTCTCTCGTAGCATTGTTTCTATCATCAATGAGTTGTAGAATGTTACCACCGCGTGCACAGTGACCGATTTAGTAGACTGTTACAGTTCTTTTTGCAACCCCCACCTCCCCAACAGCTTATATTTGGCTCTCTGTGACACGACTTTATTTTTGTTAAAATCGTCTTCGACGAGATGAAGCGGAAAGCAATAAGGATATATTTAAAAGTAATTTTCACTCGAAACAAGACCCAAGAGCCACTTTCATTATTGGGTGAGGTGTGTGGTATGGACGTAAGAGGAAATGAATATTATGAGGATATAGAGGAGAGATAACGATTGGTCCTTGGCTTGAAGAGGTGTCTGGCAAGCATACACACGGGTGTCCGTCCCACAAAGCAGTCATTCTTAGGAAGAAGTTCTTTGGGTGGAATTTCCTTCTTACAAGTGGAACTCGTCTGAACATTTGGAAATAGAGAAGCGACTGGCTTGAAATGTTGTGAGAAAGTAGCTTTAAGGTGGAAAAGAAATTATTTCCCCTAAGGGTCGTGTAAATGATTTTGAAATGTCAACGCTGGAAAATGGGGATTGAGTAGCTCTAGCCCATATGTAGCCTGTGATCTTGATATAGCAACAATACACCATTTCTGGTCTGATCTGACTGTTGTAAATATAGAGCGTAGCTGGTGGAGTCGGTTACTTTCTGGAGCGCTAAAATTAAACCGATCATTTTTCTAACATCTTCAGTGATCCATTGCACATGTTTCAGTGATGCATTGCACAGGTTTCATTTGATGTCTGGGAAAAGCAAGAGTTTGAGAGTACAAAATTTCATTATGACTAGAGAAAATTCAGTCTTCTCTGTTATGATTTTTTATAAGAACATCAATAATGTTGGTTATTATGACGATTGGAGGTACTTAGAGTCCCACTAGGGAATGCTGGAAGTAAAACAGAACCAGCGACAGTTTGAATAAAACAGTTAAGTTTACCTCGTCTCGTGTCGTCTTTGACCGCTTAAAAGCTGAATAAACAAAATCTCATATAATTCATCTTTCTCCCTTAAGGTGAACAATAATGAAACATTACGAACTTGGTTTTGAAAGATAGAAGCCAGTTCCCATCCCCACCTCCGTTGAGTTGTTAAGAGTTGGTTAAAGGGGAGATAATTAGCGAGCCTGTGGTGATCTTAAATTTTGGAGATGCACCCATAGACTATGGTATCTTCTGAAAGGGGATTTTGCTAATCATTTCGAAAGACGAGAGAAAAACAAGTATTGGAATGACTGGTGGAAAGAAATATACCTAATTATCCTAATATAAGGATGACCATACCTGCTATTTGATAAACAAAGACATTATGCAGGCACGAGAAAAGCACTTTATATACATATTTACACAAAGTGAATTTGATAATATTTTGTCCAAGCAATGAATCAAATATGACAAAGCGAATGATGTGAAATAGGATCTTTTCCTATCCCTCGAAAGGTGCTTATATATCCTCTTATCTCACGTGTGCACATCTTCAGTAAAGCTGAGGCAATCTTCTGTTTACATGTAGGAGCCGCCACCCACTTCTTGTGAGGCGCAAATCTGCACCTGGTGGCTATAAGGACACCAAGTAGGTCAAGCTGCTGACAGACTTAACTTTTCTGATGCTCTAGTGTAAGATACATTACGGTAGTATCTGGGGTGAGCCCAGTACATTTTTGGGTAATCACAGATTAACCTCTCTAAGACTGAGTTCACTTACTAACATTAAATTCGATTTAGACCATCTGGTATTTCCTGGCATTAATCACATGTTTCGCTTAGATGGTTAGATATTTTCCGATGAGATCTCGTATATCAGTGGGTGCAGAAAAAATTCTGTCTGACTAAGATGTTTGGTCAGATGATCGGTACAAGAATGTTTCAACGCTCCGTTGTAAATTCATAACAGAAATTGTAGAAGCAAAGGTTAATGTGCGATGTTTATATCATGTATTGATTTCAGAAACTGACACAAAGCTGTAATTGATGATTATATGAAAGCATCTTGTTTCAAATCTTTCAGTAGAATTTCAACATACATATTTCATATATTGAATAGAATAACAAATCAAAAAGGCTAAATATTAGAGCAATGGATAGTTACTTGGCTAGGTATTAAGTAGACGACACATTGAGATTGGAACTCGTTATACTATTAAATAACCAGCAAGACTATTTGGCATACCATTGGTTTACCACAAGTAGGCGTGATGAATGGGGTACTACATATTTGAAATGCATGAGCTTGCTGTTGGTCAACAGGTTTGAAGCGGGAGGTGCTATTTGTTTAGGATACGGTTGTTAAAGAAATGTGACGAAAAGGATCAGAACTTCCAAAAGTGGATGAATTACAGGTAGTTAAAAACAACACACTTACGCACACTACAGCTATGTAGTTGCTTGAAATTAACTAGTCGGTTTGTCTAAGGGATTAAATCCCAACTCTCCTCAGCGCTGTGTTGGCGCTACTACATCTCGGCGTAGAAAGAGAGCGTCAGTGTGTTTGTACTTTTATTATGTAGTATTAATTGGAACGGCATCAAACAAGATGGGATAACTCTGATACGGTCTACAAAATAGTGAGTCTTAAACTAAATACTATATTTCCCGTTGTGCAAGAAATATACAGAAAAATTTTAATTGGTAGCAAGAAATAAATAAGTAAATAGATGAAATTCTGCCAAGTTGCTTAGCAAAAACAGTTACACTCCATCAAAAAATCTTGGAATATGAGAAAATAACCGGCACAAGTAAAATATCTAGTTATATATTTTAACATTTTCTTTACCATTTGTCTAGAAGGTTCATAAAATTTAAGTATTGTAGAAATCTAAAACTCTGTATTAATGGAATCATAAAATGATATTAGCAATTATAAAGTAATTCTCTTTAGTGAAAGTAAAAATTGCTAATGCATAAATAGTCGAGTTTTTCTTACGAAAATTAAGGTTACCATAAGTTTTTACTGGTCACCTACCATCTTCCGTTCATCAAATCGGAGTTAATTTTATGCCAATTACATACGGTAGTTTTAGAATTTGTAGTGCAATTTTGGAGTTTCCTATGTAAAGAAGCGATTTTATCCACAGAAAACACTCAATGGAGCTACACGAGACACCCAACATGATTTTCAGAATTTAGAATTATCTTTCTAAAAGATAAAGTAACATAAACTTGCTGCTGGGGTTTAATTGGGTTGTCAAAAATGAATTTATAAAGCAAAATAAACTTAACAAACAGCTATAATATTCGACAGTGCATTTTACCTACTCTAGACAACATGTTTTTATGTTACAGATGTCGTGTCTTTTTGTACCTATATTCCAAGAGTATGGTTTGTGCTGTAACTCTTGCAACAAAAAGTTTTCATGGTTCGGGTAAAGGGGAATTAGTCGAAAATATTGATAAGTGTTCAGACAGAAATGTGAACTTTTAACTTAGAATTTAGTTTCGCTATCGTCGTTCATTGTAACTACATGCTGGGCTTAATAAAAACATCCATGCTTCATACTAATGTCTTATTCTTTATTGACGAATCTCTGCAGACTTGACACTGACAAAATTAGAAATAAAATTATACATATCTCTCAAAAGAAAATGTACAAACAACGTTTGGTTTGTGTTGTTTTACAGCATATAAACCCCAACGAGTTGTTTAATGCCAACAATTTTTTTATTGCTGGTAGTATTTTTATTTTTTTCAAAAAATTTCTGGTTATAATTTCTTAGAAAAAGTGTTCCTGGTATTAAAATCTATTTTTACACATTCATAGTGTTTTGACCCCAGGTTGGGGAGTTAACTACTTTCCCATAGCTGGGACCCTAACAGGTGCTACCACCCCGGGTCAGGGTGGACCTGGGAACACCAACAATTAAGAGATGGTTCCATGCTCCTCAAAACCTCCTGGTGAGAGGCCTTGCTGTCAGACGTAGTTAATGGTTTTACCCAGGACGCCGATAGTGTTTATGGACTAACCAAGTCGTTAGCGCTAACTGAAATGGATTAAAGTACTTGCTTTCTTCCCAGTTCTCCGCTCTACCAACTGAGCTGTCACTATTGACCTCTTCCTTATTCTCTCGTTATACCCACATATGCCGTCACACCAACAACGTGTGTGGTTCTGTCCCGCCTTCCTCACAGACTCTGTATTTCTGCCTGCGTCGGGGGCAACTAAAATTTGCATACGAGACTTCTCGTTCGCCCGAGACTTTCGATCTTATAAATTTACGCTGGCTTGAATTTTTAGTCTTATTTTTTTTTTCCGTTGTGGAGCACCTCGGCGTGGTGTAATGGTTAGCAAGTTTATCTCACTAAGACAATTACGACTGAGTAGTGAGTTCGATCTCCACTGCGTGTTCCATACTTTCGGCCTTGTGCCACATCCAAGCAGCGCTTAGTAAATCACTAATTTTTTTCCGTTGTACGTCTGCCCGCGATATAAGAATTTCGGAATAATTCATTTTTACTTTTAACGCCGATCACGATGTTTCAACAAGACCTGACACACCAAGCAAATTGACCTTGCGGGAGGTAAGTCTTCTTGTTCCTCACACGCTCTCATAGAGAACAGTGTGGGGAGGCGCCTTCGACGAACACTCCTTCGTAGAAGTGGAGAGGATGCTTTCGGTGGCAGTACTACTTCGTTTAATGTTCTGCCTGTCATTGGCATTTTCGGTGTCATCTTCCTCGCTGTTCGAATCTGTACTCTCTGACAAAGGGAGCAGGCCATCTGTCTGCATTGTGCAAAACTTTATTGTATCCGAATCACTATCAGACGACATGGACCCAGACTGTTTGGGAGCTAATAACTCCATCAACGCGTCCTTTGCTAAATCTAGTGATACAACGTCCATTTGGGGGCTTGACCCATAAAAGATCACCAATTTTATATGGTTCTTTGGTATTCTTCGGAATATTTGGCATTACTTGATCTATTCCCTTTATCTGCTGTCTGTATGTATATATTCCGTTGGCCGGCGCAGTTGATTGCGTTACATCGTCTTTGGGTGTGACGTTATACCAATATACAGCTTCTTGAATAGAGCACCGGGTTCTGGCTGCTATCTTTTTAACGGTGCAGTGACACATCTCTGCTATCCCGTTACCTTCTGGAGTTTGGGCGCCTCTGTGTAATAGGAGTGACAGTGACTTACCAGGAGCAAAGCGAATTCGTTGCCTCGCGTGTCGAACCATTCTCTGAGAGACGGGCGCGCGTGCGCCTACTGCCATTTTTATGCAGCAGGCTTATTTGCATAAGAGAACCACGCTACCGATTAAAAACCCGGCGAGTGGACGTGGGAGGCCACTGCTTTTCTAGGCTTCGGCGAGACTAGACGGATTGCAGACAGAAAGCGACAGCAATTTCTGGACATACGACAAGCTATTTCGGCGAACATGGACGGCCGGTTTGATTTAAAAATAATTCCCGGGTTTGACGGGACTGGATCTGTGGTTGAATGGCTCGATGAATTGGAATTGGTGTGCGACCTATCGGGAGTGAAGCGGCTTGATCGTGTCATCCCCCTTCGCTTAACCAGGGGAGCATTCGCGGTTTACCAGCAACTATCTACGGAAGAGAAATCGGACGTGGCTCGAATCAAGGGAGCATTGATGACAGCATTTGCCCCTGATAAATTCACGGCATACGAACAATTCGAGGCACGTATATTGCGTCCGGGTGAGACCATAGATGTATATTTGGCTGATCTGGAAGCTCTCCGTCCTTTTGGAGGAGTGCCAGACAGTGCGATGGCATGCGGGTTCGTGCGGGGGGGCTTCCTGATCCTGTGAAAAAGGCTCCTGCGGTCCTCGGCCAGGGCGGATGATATGTCTCTCGAGGAGCTATTGGCCCGAGCTCGGGCAATCATAAAGGACGAGACAGCAGAGAGGGAACCAGTCGTCGCTGCGGTGCAGCCCTCCCAGACTCCCCGTTCTTCCCCAGACATGGGCCCACTTGTCACATGTTATGAATGTAATGGGCCCAATCACTTCACGAGGGACTGCATGAAGAGGCGAAGGACAACTAACGCACGTTGCTATCGATGCAACAAGACCGGTCATCTGGCCAAAAATTGTCCGGGAAACGGAGGCGGGGACGAGACTTCAGCGCCGGTCCACTCCCCAAACAGCAAGTAAACTCGGTGCTACCCATCATTACTGTGTGTTGACGGCACACCATGCTCGGCTCTCCTTGACTCTGGGTGCTCATGGTCAATCTTGAGCGCGAGTTTGTCGGTTTTGGTCGAAGCAGGGTATGGCGGTATCTACATTAACCGGAGCCACGCAGGCTTGCTGTGGAAGGGGCACCGTCAGAATTTGCACAGCAACTGGTAATACTGCTACAATCGATGTGCTGGTTATGCGAGGGAAGCCCATGGATTTCGACCTGTTGCTTGGCATCGACGCCATTAAGGCACTCGGTGGAGTTCGCATCACGCAGCATGGAAGCGTGGAGTTTGAAAAACCACGGTCCGTCTGTGCAGCGATTCGTATCGGCGAAGCCGATTTCAGTGCGAAATTCAATGAACGGCAGGGAGTTTGGGTCGCAGCCTGGAAGTGGTCGGCAGGTCATGCACCAGGGAAACTTCAGAATCGGATCTCTGAGTATCCAGTATCCACCGAGATGAGAGAGGTGTACGAGCATGAATTACAAACATGGATGGACAATGGTTGGTTGGTGCCGTACAGTAACAAGGAGTTTGGCACGCCCAAGGGACTGATACCACTGATGGCCGTGCTGCAGACCAACAAGCATAAGGTGCGTCCTGTGATGGACTATAGGGAACTAAATACCTACGTTGAAAGATTCACAGGTGCCGCGGATGTTTGCGCAGAAAAACTGCGAGACTGGAGACAGCAGGGTGCGAACGTGTCCATTCTGGACCTCAGGAAAGCATATCTACAGATCCGTGTTGAAAAATCCCTGTGGCCATATCAAACAGTTGTGTTTAAAGGGAAGCGATATTGTTTGACCAGGCTGGGGTTCGGCCTGAATGTGGCGCCCCTGATAATGCGAGCTGAGCTTAATGCTGTGTTAGCACAGAATGAAACTATAAATAGAGCAACGTCAGCATATATTGATGATATATATATCAACGAGGATGTGGCGTCAGACAGAATCTGTGAGGAAACATCTCGAGCTCTACGGACTGACGAGCAAGGATCCAGAGAAGTTACAGGATGGAGCCAGAGTGCTGGGGCTAGAAGTATGGAAGGGACAGGATCGACTGCGATGGCGACGAGGAAGTAGAATGGTAGACGGCCCTATGACTATGACACGGAGAGGTATTTTCTCCATGTGTGGCCGGCTGGTGGGACACTTCCCCGTGTGTGGATGGCTGCGAGTGGCGACAGGCGTCATCAAACGTCGAGCCACTGCCGTAACGCAAAACTGGGACGACAAAATTTGTGATGCTCCCCTGGAACGTATAACGGACACCCTTGCCCGGGCTCAGCAACTGGATCCTGCACAGGGAAAATGGTGCGTGAATACGAAGGAGCTAGACGTGTGGGTGGACGCGAGTTCGCTGGCTGTCGGAGTAGCGCTCGAGGCTAAGGGAGCCATCATCGAGGACGGATGCTGGCTACGGCCGATAAAAAATACCCAGCATATCAATGTGGCTGAACTGGATGCCGTACTGAAGAGAATCAACCTCGCGCTAAAATGGCAGGCTACGGTATTACATGTGAACACAGACTCCCTCTGCGTGTACCATTGGGTGACTAATGCCCTTACGGGAAAGTCTCGGCTGAACACCAAGGCCGCTAGCGAGATGCTCATAAGGCGACGACTTGAAACTCTAACGTCTCTTGTGAAAGAGTATAAACTTTCCGTTGTCATAGCGCTAGTTAGATCCGACCAGAACCGAGCTGACTTGCTGACTAGAGTTCCCCAGAGGTGGTTCAACAATGTGAAGGAATTCGAAGCTGTTCAACCAGTATGTGCTTCTGCTGTAGGAAACCTGAGCCTTGCTCAGTTAACTGAGATTCATCGACACAGCGGGCACCCTGGAGTTAAACGGACACTATATTTCGCACGTAGGATCAACCCGTCCGTGTCGAAAGCAGCAGTAAGATTGGTCGTTCGAAGTTATGAACAGTGTCAGTCAATAGATCCAGCTTCTGTGCGATGGCAGAAGGAGAGCTCAGTGTGCGTGAAACTTGGAGTCGTCTGGGAATGGACATTACACACTATAACGGTCGCCATTTTTTGACTCTGATCGATTGCGGCCCCACACGGTTTTCGATCTGGCGACCACTAGTTCGGCAAGACGCTGCACACGTAATCCGGCAATTGGAGTCGGTGTTTTTCGAACGTGGTGCCCCGGTAGAAATCCTGGCTGATAATGACACTGCATTCCGCAGTCAGCAATTCAAACAATTCATGGAAGAATGGGGCGTCCGATTCCGACCGCGCTGCGCGTACAAACCATCTGGAAATGGTTTTGTAGAGAGGTGTCATCGGACAATCAAACGGATTGCTGCGCGAAAAAGCTGCTCTATTATGGAGGCCGTGTATTGGTATAACATTACACCCAGGGATGATGTGTCTGCCTCTGCTGCGCCCGCCAATCTGCTGCATTCGTACAAAATTCGAATAAAAGGAATTGACATTGTGCCCTCGCCTAACCGGGCGACTTCGACTCTGTATAAAGAAGGAGACGCAGTTTGGGTAAAAGATCCGCACGGACGCTGCACGTCAAAGTTTGTGAAAGGTCGTGTCACGGGAATAAACAGTCCGCAGTCGGTAGTCATCGACGGGATACCGCGACACGTGGGAGATGTACGTCCACAGCTCACTTCATTGTTACCAACGGATGATGGCGGTGACACAACGTCAGTGAGTAATGAATGGCAAGAACCAAGCTCCAGTGCAAGCTGTAGCGACACCTCATCTGAAAGCGAGAAAGAAGTAGACCTGAACCTTAATGATCCCCCGGAATATGATTCAGACCAGAACACATCTGACGATTCAGCCGGGGAGGAAGTAATGGTTATACCACCGCGAAGAAGTGCAAGGGTGAAACGACCAGCCCCTCACTGTCACTTATGTGATCATACGATCAGGGGGGAGTGTAATAGGAGTGACAGTGACTTACCAGGAGCAAAGCGAATTCGTTGCCTCGCGTGTCGACCATTCTCTGAGAGTCGGTCGCGCGTGCGCCTACTGCCATTTTTATGCAGCAGACTTATTTGCATAAGAGAACCACGCTACCGATTAAAAACCCGGCGAGTGGACGTGGGAGGCCACTGCTTTTCTAGGCTTCGGCGAGACTAGACGGATTGCGACAGCAATTTCTGGACATACGACAAGAAGATAGCTCGTAATTGTTGTATAATCGATAATACATCTTGTCGCACCAGTGGACGCCATACAGTGAAACGCGTCGGGCCGCAATCCGTCAAAGTTAGAAAATGATTACCATTGTGATGTCACGTCCATGCCCAGTCGCTACCAGTTTTTGTCTACCAATAGCTTGCCCTTGTTCCACTGGACTGGGGCAGGATTCACCGCACAACATTCCTCGCAACCTTGTATGGCCGACCTAACCATGGCTTTTGTCACTGTAGGACAAACCTTCTGGACGAATTAAGTCGAACGCCAGGATGACTGCTCTTGCTATGTATGGCGCAGATTTGTTCGATGGTCAGCTGGCTCGTAACACCTGCGCACGTTGGTGGTTCTGATCCGTGTTTCAACATGTCGAGCCATCTTTTTGGCACTCTAGTCAACTTATCG